CCCAGGGAGGCTGAGCAGCTCCTGGCTGTCAGAGGCCACGGGCAGCCCGCCCCATGTGGGGCTGGGGAGACAACATCGGCCACAAAAAGCACAGCAACAATGACACCACCATGTTCCCAGGCTCACCGGACGTCGTCTGCTTCAGTTTTTCATTTTTCTTTTTCCTCCATTTCCAGGGTTTGAAGATCCTGCCCAGCGTGGCCAGCCTGCTGTTCCTCCTGGCGGGGGGCGTGCGAATCCCTGAGACCAGATATTCGGAGCGCACTGGGGGCGTGGGGTCCATCTCATCTGTAAGACAACACCGAGAGGGTTCAGGGGTCACCAATAGCCACTGCGATTCCGCAGAGCCGGGTGTGTCCCGGGTGGCCCGGGCCGGCCCTCAAGGGGCGTGTTTCATTTCCCTTCTGTGAGCCCCTCCCCTGCAGCCCTCCCACAGCCCACTGGAAGCCCTAGCCGGGCTCTGCCTGCAGCACAGCAATCTGAAGACAGCGAGTTCCAAGGCAGAACCTCTCCCGCCCCAGGGCCTTTGCTTGTGCTGCGCCCTCCACCCACGCCGCTCACCCTGCCGCTGCTTCTGTGCTCTGTGCCCTTTAGCTGCTCAGCTGAGCCTGGCTTCCTCAGGAAGTCTGTCTTCCTCCTGTCCCAGGTGAGGTCCAGCCCTGGCCCCTGCTCCTGAAGGGACCTGCGCCGCCACCAAGAAGCAACAACGATCTGGCGTCCACCCCCTCCCCACTCCCCCAGCTCTGCCGCGGCCCTGCCTCAGGCCTGGCCATGCTCCTCGTGGACAGTGGAGAATGACTAAGTCCAGGATGGACAGAGCGAAGCCACTGGCATGCTCATCAGGGAGCAGAGAGACGGGGCCGAGGAAGCACACGGCGTTGCCGCCACACAGGAGACTGGTGGCCACCACATGCCCGTGGACAGGGTGCAGCTAGGTCATCGTCCCTCCTTCTGTGAACCATGCACAGACATGGGAAGATAAAGCAGAGGGTGTGAGCAGACACCTGCTGTGGCTCAGGGACAGTCCGGGGGGGGGGGGGGCGGGGGCTGGGAAAAAAGATGGCGTGGGCTCCCCCCAGGCCGGGGGGGAGGGGTATGTTTTTACCGATAGAACAGAAAACAAAACACGACTAAGGCAATGGTGAAAGGCGGACCTCTGAAGGCACAGTGCTGCCCGTCGGCTCACGCACCCGCTGATGGGCAGAGCCGAGCCAAGTTCAGGCGTCGCTGTGGCAGGACTGAGAAAGCAATGCCAAGTTGCCCCTAACCCCTCCTGGGACAGGGCAGTGGTGAGGACCTGAGGCCCCTGCAGGCTCTTAGATTTAACCCCCGGGTCACTGGGCTAAACGAGGCCACCTGCAGCCAGAGGGGCAGGGACCCGTGATGGACCGTCACTGTCGGGCCCAGCGCAATGCCTCATGGGACAGGTACTGTACTCACACTGTGAGTCTATAGGGTAGACACTGTCATTACATCCACTTCACACACGAGCACGCTGAGGCTCAGAGCAGGGAGCCATTGTGTCGACTCACAGAGCGAGGAAGACTGAGGTGAGTGTGACCTCGGGCAGCCTGACCCCAGAGACGCCTCTCGGGTCTCTAAGCTGATCCTAGGGTGACTGCATCAATGGATCACCCAGGGCGGGGTCGACGATGGGACACCAGCCAGGACAGGCCAGGCCAACGGGGGCCAGGCCATGGGTGTGTCCTCTCTCTCTCTCTCTCTCTCTCTCTCTCTCTCTCTCTCTCTAATTGAGCATGAATCGTGTGTGTGGGGGCTGCGGCCACAGCTGGCCCATAGAACAACCCTGGCGTGGGAGGTATTTCATCCAGGACAAACTTGGGCATCTTATTTCAGAACCTCTCCCTCCAGGCTCAGCAACCAGGAAGGCACCAAAGGAATGACATTCTCCACTTGTTTTCTGCTGTAATCCCAACGCCCTGCACCCAGCAGGAGCCTGGGACATGCAGGTGAGGGATGATGGAGCCAGGAGGACCTGAGGGTGCCAGGCAGGATCCCCCCACCATCCTTGGCCAGCTCCACGCCAGGCGTGCAGGATGCAGCCGGTCCTCCTTTCCTGGAGGCAGTTTATTCCCTGATCCGCGCCGTTCCTTCCTGTGCCCACAGGCGCCAGATGGAGCGGAACGGCCAGTGCCACCCGTTGCGGGAGTGCTGGCGGGCTGAAGGCATGTGGGCACAATCTGCAAAGACCTGGCCAGGTCTCCCCAAGCCGGGGCTCATTTGTAGATGAAGACAAGACCCCAGAGATGAGCTGGGAATGATGGAGCGTTAGCACCCCTTTCTTTATACCACCTCGCCTGGTTCCACCAAGGAGGGTGGCAGGTACGAGAAATACACGCTGAACAAGGTAAAATGAACATCGAGGAAATCCGGAGAAAGGGGATTTGGACGGGGCCGCAGCAGCCAGGGGTAGAGACCTCACACGGCACCAGAGGAGGGCACACATGCAGCTCTGAGCTTCCTGGTAGGCAAAGCGAAAAGGAGCAGCACGAAGAACAAACCACAGATCGGACCACAAATCCCACCCCACCTGCTACCTGCATTGCTGAGACCCTGGGCCAGGTCACCAGATGCAGGAAGGGTGAGGTCAAGCGCTTGGAGGAAGAATGCAGCCACAAGGGCCCTGGGTGCAGCTGGGGAGGCACGCAGGGGCTGGAACTTGATTCCTCATTCAGGAGGGCCATGGGGACCTTCAGTTCCAAAGGCCTGATTCGTTCATGTGCTGGGCGTGTAGCATGCTTAGTCTGGGGGACACGTAGGGGCTTGCTCTCATCAGGGAGCAGAGACCCCAAGCCCAGGGGCCTCAAGGAGGACACACCTGCTCCCCACCTCCCCAGGTGGCTCGGGCCAGGTGGGTGAGAGCTTCTGAACACTGTGACTTGCAACCCAAGAATAGAAAGTTCAGGAGCCAGGCTGTGATGTTCAATGAAGGAATTCCTTATAAATACCTTAGAGCAGAGAGGGCACGAGTATGTCAACAACTGTGGGCATGGCGGTCCCAGTGAGCGGAGGTGGGCATGGGTCCTTCTGGGCATGGAGTGGGCTCCGCACACGTGAGGGTGGGTGTGAATGTGGGTGGGTGGGTATGTAGGAGATGGGTGTGTGGGAATGTGTGCACCTGCATGGTGGGCATTTACGTATGTGGGTGAGCATGTCCATACCTGGGTGGGTGTGCATGCACCTCTACATGTGTGCCCAGAGAGAAGAGCGGGGTGGGCATGCTGCTGCTTCCCTCCATCTCAGCCTCTGAATCTCTGAGTGTCTCTGGAGTTGCCAAGGAACGTCCTGCCCTTCCCACCCTGGGAGGATCCGAGGGGCAGACGCATTAGCAGGCCCTCTGTCCTCTAAATAGCTCAGGTGCTAAGTTCCCACCTCTGCTGCCTGTGATACATTAGCAGTTAATTAATGAAAATGTTTCCCCACATGGGCGTGAGGAGGTACAACACACAGCCACAGGGCAGGCGGGGCCCCGGGTGCCCAGGCGAAGGATGGGGCCAGCGGAGGGCGCCTGCTGACATTACGCACCGAGCTGAAGGCACAGGTGCCACTCCGCCCAGTCCCCTATCAGGCTCAGGGCAGCTGGAGCTTGTCCCCAGTACCCAACTCCACCCACCTCCCCATCGATGGATCCCATAAACCTGCAAGTCAGGCACGTTCTAGAACAGGCAGCGAGGAACACCAATGCCACAGCCTCACTCACTGAGCTTACAGCTCATCTCCAAGCCTGGCGCAGGGCCAACTCCCTTATTCATAATATTCCCTTCCATCCCAGCCCGGCCACTCTGGTATCATCCTGGGTATAGGGCTTATTGTTATTTTTCCAGAGCACAGGCACTGTGTCTGTCTTGCCCATCGCTGTGTCCTGCATCTTCACCGATGCCCGCACCCACGCAGTGCTCCAATAAACACGCCTGCTCCACCTGTGAGCCTGGGATGCGAGTGCGGGAGCCAGGACCTAGCCCCGTCCATCTGAGTCAAAGTCCACCCCTTAGTCATGCCAGGCATTTCTGCTTTCTTGCCTCCTGACCACTGACCCATCCCTGTCTCCTCTTCCCACACCCCCGGGACACCGGCCTCACAGCACAGCGGAAGGAGTGAGGTCAGGCACCAATGCACGTGCGGCATGGCTGGCCTCTCGGGAGACACGCACCATCTGTATCAGACAACGTCGGAACATGGTTTCTGCGTGTTTATTTATTCACTCACCAACTCATCATCAATATCAGCCGAGGCCCGCTGTGTGCCAGGGCCGCGCTGAGTTTGAATCAAGTCAACACGAGGTGCTGTCTCAGGCGGCATGAAGCTCACCTGCTTATGGAGCAGGAAGAAGACAAACAAGGGAACAATGAGATACCTCCTGAAACAGACACGCGCTCTGAAGGCTGTAAAGGAGAAGCCGGGATAAGGAGCAACAGCGTGTGGCCTCTGTGTCTCCCCGGAGTCCGTCCCTGCTCAGAGCAGAAGGAAGTGGTGCTGGACTCCCTGCTCTGGTGGCTCACTGACCACAGGGAGAACCTGGGCAAGGCATCAGCAGGAAGAATAGACAGAGGATTGCAACTGCGGAGCACACACTTCTGAGAAGCAGTTCTGGAAACTCTGAGCAGGGGGGACATTTGACTTGGGCCTTGCAGATTGAGTAGGTGTTAAATAAAAGGCGAAGATCCATCAAAGCCTGACAGTACGTTGTGATTGGAGAAAGGGGAGGAACGCAGGGAAGTGAGAGCCGATGTCCCTAGCCTGAGGTTGAGTAACATTGCCATGCATAAAAGTGAGATGCCAACTTTCTATGGCATTGACTAATGACCAACACACACACACACACACAAGTAAACATACACAAAACTAGCATCCATAACTAATAGGAAGGATATAATCTCAAAGTACGAAGAGAATCTTTTAATTAAACACATATGGATACATGAGGAAAATAATGAGCCATGTTGTCCTCATGCACTAGTTTGCTGGCAGGGTCTGTGCACTGGAATCTGAGAACTCTCAGGCCGGAGATCCTGTGGGGGGGATGGAGCGAGGCTGCGGCCTGGCCATGAGGAGCTGTGTGTGGCCGCAACAGAAGCCCTGAGGGTGCAGGAATCACTGGGGAACCTGCCGTAAGATCAGCATTGCGGGAAGGCCTCACAGGATGTTGGGGTGATGGGCAGATTGCGGGGGAACAAGATGGAAGACAGGGTGGCTGATTGAGAGGGAACAGGCAGTGAGGGCAGTGGGGCCAGTGGAGAAAGGAGGGAGGGAACCAGAGATGTC